AAATTTATATAAAATGGCAGGCGTTTTGATGGTTATCATTAGTCCTTTAGTTGACTTCAGGCTTCACAGAGGGGAAAGAACATCAAATTGAAAAAGTCGAGAGGGGGGAACAGAAGAGTGTTTCAATGATGTAAGAGGCAAACACAAAGGTAAAAAAAGGTGAGGTGAGTACTGTGTAAATAGTCGAATATGGCATAGAGTGAGGTGATGGTAGTTTGAAGTGAGAAGTCAACTGCATGATCAATAGATTTTTTTGCCGTATGGGTATACGTTGCCCAGGGTGCACCACGTGGAGGTAAGTCTATCGCACCCCTGGAGTGAATATTAAAGTTCCCTTTATAAGTGTCCTTGTTAGTCTCATTTACCTACACATGACCGAAAGTACAAATTAGCGTCACACCTACATGACCAACCATTCGGTAAAATCAAGTGATCGACAGAAATCGAATATAGCAGACATGAAAGTACCAAGTAATCAAATAATAGAATAAAGTTTCGATACATTTTAATATTAAGAAAAGAACAATACCCTTAGGAATATGCGAATAAATTAGGAGGAGGAGGAGGAAGGGGGGGGGGAAGGTAATGCTTTCGCCCGACAGTTTTGCTGTTTAAATGTCCGCCAATCATCCTGACTCTGTCTGTGTAATGGATGAGTAGGGAGATAGCTAAATAAGGACTTCTGCGCTGGTGATACTTTTTGTGAACACATTGGAACTACCTGTAAAACCCCACAGGATACCAGAACGAAAGAGTATCGTTGTACAAAACAACGAAAAAAAGAGTGGGATATGATCAAAATTAAGTTGTCTCTTCTCAAATGGATTGTGACAATAAAAGGTGGTAGGGGTTAAAATCGAAGGTTGAGTTGATTCCAATCGATATGAAAAAGTTAAAAATAGCAACGCCTAACATATATTATTGGTCTCTCATTTACTTTAAAAGGACATAATGAATATTAATTGCCATCAAGTTAATAGGGGAAGTAATGACATATATTCTAAAAGGAAAATAGTACTACTGAATAATGTAAGTAGATAATTATATGTGAAAATTCCGCGTATTAACTTCGGGCTACTAAAACGAATATATAGTACGAACACAGCAAGACCATTTTTTAAAACTTAAGAAAACTACTATTCATCGATATAAGAAAGGAAATTTTGATTACGTCTCAATAGGCTGTACAGAATTTTACCAGTGACAGCTTTCGAAATGGATTAACTCTAGCATTGCTATCGCCTAGAGCTATAATATTGCCTTACACAGTTATAATAAATTACATAAGGCATGTTATCTAAGTTTCCTGTGGCTAGTCAAAAAATAAACTCTCATCGAGACACGGCGGTTTGAGAATGAATGGCATCCTTTGCATCAAGTTATCTCGTTTGGTGACTTTACATTTGTAAATTATCCAAATGTGTGGCCTAATCAATACGTGTTTCGAGTGCAGTTCCAAATAGGTTGCAGCTAAGAAGCGCGTTCCAATGTTAGATAGAAAAGAAGAATCCTTTACGAATTTCGTTGTAAAATTAAAATTTCCAAAATTGTTCAGGCTCTTACATAGAATGTTAGTGTAATTTATTAAATGTCGGTAAGAGTGTTTTTAGACATAGGGTGAAATTTGAACTAACGAATAAGTAAATAAAATAATGCAAGTATGAAATTTGCATAAATTTCAAAATCAATCCTCAATCCTCAATTATTTTACATTACTGGAATTTTGCAAAACTCATTAATCGAATCTGTAAATAATGATAACAAAGAAAATGAAGCTCAAAATTTACAGAACAGAAAGTTTAAATTCTCAAATATGCGACATCTAATAAAGCGCAACAAAGTTTGTTTTAATTTTCTATTTAAGCTGCGGGCGACAGGACATTCCTCACGCTTATCAATGAGTTGGGGTCTGTCGAGGGTTGTGTCAAAGGATGGTCTTATCAAAAGAATGGGAAAAGGATTCTGTAAGTAATCATTTCTTATTTAATGTCTAATATATTTTCTCATAAAATGGTTAGATATATACCATTTAAGATGTGTTTGTAAGAGTATTTCAAGATTTTTTCTAATATTTTTTTCTGTTCCATAAGTCTGGTTTCGTTCTCACTGTTTTTTTATTAGGGACCTATTTCAGTCGCATTGGAAAGGACTACGTTACAACCTTCAGCGACACAGCTAAACAAATCCGAGCAAATCCCGCCAAATTCGTTGCTGTCATGTCAGGAGTTGGAGCAATTGCATCTGTCGTTGTCTCCTGCCCCCATGAAAGAGAATACGAAGCAGATTTCCGTAATGCCTCAATCGATCTCTATGATACCCCAAGATGTCTCCAAAATCCCCGAAGCGTCTCACATATCGACGAACGAGCGGCACTCATCTCTAAAAAGATGGTCCGACATGCCAACTTCTTTGGACTGCTCCACATTGTCTGGCGCGACGATAGACCCGAATGCTGTCGCCTCTATTCCGAAATTTGTCCCTACAATCACCCAAGCTCAGGCCCAGTTAACTGCAGCAAGAACGGCCCAATCCGAAGCTTCTTCCGCCTTTTCCTTTACGAAACGCCTACAGGAAGATGTCCCGATGAAGTGCATTTCTTCGAACGAGCCAAATACGTCCTTAACAATCGAATCCTCGATATTGGAGCCCTTGGCCAATTCTGGTACCTCAAGTCAGCAATGGTCGACTACGACATCAATGATGCACAATTCACCCCAGATGGGTACGCTCTCTGAGAGTAGACACGAACCTGATCTCCAACCAGCCTCTTCTCTACAGGAATGCAGTACTACACCACCCCCTGTACAAATCCCAGATGATAGTGAGATGACCGAACAGTCTAACCAAGTATCAAATTCCAATAATGAAGATGGTAACGATAGTGACGAGTGGGAGGTTTTAGATGAGACGCTTATCTACGCTGATTGTGTTGGAGCAGTTGAGTCAGATTTGATGGATCATGGAAAGTCTATTCTTTTAGTGGATTTAGATTCTGACAATCCCCTTATCCAGGTTAGTTTGAAATCTCGTTATTGTTCTTGTAAACGTCCAGTTTAAAAGTGATGGTGATAGATTGACGCTATCCAGTTCTTAGATTTGTACAGGATTATGGCTATAATGGTCGTTAGTATTCAGCTCCAATTTGATAATAGGTGTGTTTTAAAGTTGGATGGCAGTTGCAAGGTGTCAAAAATTGATTACCTCTGTATATTCGGTGTATTTGCAAGATCAGAGTTCGAAGCCAATCGGTGCTCATGATCGATACGATCACGATCGAGTTTCTTAAAAAAATCCGGGCACTATTTGGAAAGCAAAATTTATGTGCCATTTGAAAATATCGTTTCAATCAGATTTGTGATTATAGTTTTTTGTTTGAATGACGCGAATGATTGTGGCAGTATATTAGCCTTTATGTACTCATAATTATCTATGAATCGGTAACAAATTCTGGGTGTGTACTTAACCGCATTTTTTTGCACTGTGTAAATGTGTCAGCACCTTCGATTAGTCAGCATTGTATGTGGATCTCTGTTAACTACACGATGAGTTTGACCGAATTAAAATGTCTCTCCTTAGAATCAGTGATTTGCTTAGACTAACGGAACAACAGCTTTTATTAAACAAGGGGACTGAGGGTCAAGTCAGACTGTGTGCATTGGACAAGAGGAATAAATCGGAGACAATGGAAACAGGGGGGAGAATAATCGATTGATTTTTGATGAGCTAACTGTGTTTCAATTCATTCATTTTATTTGCCAGCTCTAAAACGTCGTATAATTGCGACAATGTAGACATTTATTTATATCAAATGGCAGTCGTTTTGATGGTTATCATTAGCCCTTTAGTTGACTTCAGGCTTCACAGAGGGGAAGGAACATCAAAGTGAAAGAAAGTCGAGAGGAGGGGAACTGAAGAGTGTTTTAAAGACGAAGATTAAAAATTTTGAAAAAATGTGATGTAGTATTGTGGAAGTGGTCGAATATGTCATACAGTGGGGTGATGGTAATTTGAAGTCAACTGCCGGTTAATAGACTTTTTTGTCGTATGAGTATACGTTGCCCAAGGTGCACCACGTGGAGGTAAGTCTATCGCACACCCCACAATGTAGACATGTTAAGTGGAATGCGACAAAAGCATATTGAACTTGATTTTGATTTATTGTTGCATTTGAAGTTCTAAGACCTACATTTATCTCTATCAGACTGTCATTTATTAGAATACGTTACTGTTGGAAATTTTCATGAAATAGTAAAATAGGTGATATAATGGAAATCATAATGGTTTCTGTAGTTAACTATACCATACCCTTAAGTAATCAGTTTAGGATTTAATCACTACGTTTCATTGTGCATTCTTGATCCTTCTATTCACTTTATTAACCAATTGGCTATCCTGAGTAGACGGCGAAGCCATCTCGATAAATCGATAATTTGTAAGTAGGTGATATTTGCTGTAGCTTATTGTTGATAGTTGACAATGTCTCCTAATCCCGCTTAGATAAGCGTCTTCTATAACATCATAAAGCCCCAGGTGGGTAGGTCGAGTTTTTGCCAACCTTACTAATCAGTCAATGTGGTTCACCAATTTAAGCCATTGGAGAACGGACCTTGAATCTGACCACATTAACCATTTTTCTATCAGTAAACAGTATTGCTATAAGTGGGATTTACATGACGATTGTGACCTCCAACACTACTGAATATCCTTTTTTCGCGTTGGAAGTATTAGGTTGGCAACTAAGTCATTGCCGATTTCAAATAAGAAGGCAAATTCGGAATTTTTGTTTAAAAATATAACTTTATTCAATTAGATATTGGCCGTTCTTGTCGATGACCTTTTTCCATCGTTCTGGCAGAGTAAAAATTCCCCGTTCGCAAAATGTCTGGTCTTTGCTATTAAAAAACTGAATTAGGTGTGATCCGACATCATCCGCGTTGTTAACAATTTTACCATTTAAAGAGTTTTGCATGGAACGAAACAAATAATAATCCGAAGGCGCAAGGTCAGGGCTATATGGTGGGTGTGACAAAACATCCCAACCCAGTTGCAATAATTTTTGCCGAGTAACCAAAGATGTGTGGGGGGGGGCCTTGCGTTATCATGATGGAAAACAACACCCTTCCGATTTGATAATGCCGGCCGCTTATCTTCAATTGCATCCATCCTTCAGTTTTTCTAGTTGTTCAACATACACATTTGAATTTATCGTTTGGTTCTGCGGCATGAGTTCAA